TTTCAAAATTTAGTAAAACCCCTGTGTCAATTTTAAGTCCTTGTTGAACTAAAACAAAGAAGCTATTGACCAGATTTTATTACCACTACTTTCCCCGGAGAAATCCTGCGCGTTAGCTGTAAAAGAAGATACCTACTGAAAATAGAAGTACACACTTAAGACATTCTTAAAGTTAAGTTCATTTCATTCTGATTTCGTTACTTTGTTAAGCCATCCCTTGTGTTAAGAAAGATACCCTTCAGGTTCCATCCCTATACCTACAGTGGGTCAGAAACTAATTTTATTGACAAATGTACCAAAAATGCTTTTTGGGAGATAGTCCCTTTAATGAAAGTTTATAAGCTTGTTGTGCAGATATTTTTTGATTCGAGAATAAATTCATACAATAACTCCTTTCACAGGAAGTTGATGTTTGGAAACAACACTGCTTGGTCTGCTATCGCAGAAATCATTTTACCCCAAGTTGCGATGCTGTCTACAATATTGTTCGGTTCCTTCCAGGATCATTACTCCTGTTAAAATAACTTTTGTGTTGAATAACCCAGTTGACATTTTTCTATTAAAAGATTGGGAAACTACCAGTCATTCTGTAAGTGAACAACATTAAATCTTGGTTAAATAGACTAAGTTACCAATTGGTACCTCTTTAATTTAAATATTTCACAAGTTTTGTTCAGATTACAAACCATGTGAAAGCATTGGATTCAAACTTTGCGTTGTCTACCCTGTCGTTTGCCTGCTTTTTTGTCCCCCTCAAGTGAGCACTGTTAAAAAAATCTATTGTAATTTTACAAATTTTGTTGGCAACTTTTTACGCAATTCAATGTTTGTAAAATTACAAACTAAAACACTTGTAAAAAAAATTGCAAACGTGTTTTGAAATTTCACAATCTGCGATCTGAAAATTAAAAACGTTAATGTGAATTTTAAAACATCAAGGTGTATAAGATTAAAATAATTTGCCATGATCATGGAGTAGGTGAACCACAGACGATCTAGGGATCAGATCGTTGGGCTGAAGAAGTGTCAGTTACCTCTGAGGGTAAAGTCACGGCATATATACGGGAGCGCCTCACAGGCGCCCCTTACTGAACGGATGCGAACGGCGCCGTACCTAACTAAGGAGAGGTAGCGGGGACCGGCGCGCGCTGGAATTAGACCAGTTATTTGGGGCACTTGGTTGACTTTTTGCTCAAAAACAAATGCGTAGCCAGCTACAGCATTGTGTTATAGATCATACCGCACAAAAATACATGTCAGTTTCTTGTGCAAATTTTAGTTAAATACTAATAATTGCTCTTGGAAGAGACGCGCTGACCACAACGCCATCTGGCGGCAGTTCTTTAAAGTACAGTTGCTTTAAAGTACAGTTCGTCGCATGAAAGTCCAAAGTCACAACGGGCTTATAGGTGTGGAGGTTCGTTGTACTGTAGTAAACCTGATGAAGGACTTGTGCAGGTCCTGTTTCATTTGGTTTAACTTCGCAAAATTACAAACTGCAATCGGAAAATTACAATCAAATCTCACATTTCCGATAGTGTGATTACAATTTTACAATCGCAAATTGTAAAATTACAAATGTTTCCTAATTTTCAGAAGACAGATTTGAATTTTCAAAAAACTGTTATGAATTTTAATAACTAATTGCAAAATTGAGAATGTTATGAAATTTCCCAACCACGTTTGCAATTTTACAACTGATTTTGATGTGAAATTTCACAACTTTTTTAACAGTGAGTTACTAAGGCTTCGCAATATAAGCTCAGCCAACAACCTCCGCTAAATCCCGAACACCATTAGGGTGTCTAAGTGTTATTCTACAAAGAAAATACCCAGAGGAGACAAGATTTCGAATAGATAGTTACCCTTGTGCGTCTTTCGATAGTCGGGAAGAAGAAGGAAGGAATCCAGACCGGCACCAGTTTCTAGTTATAAACATAATAATACTGAGAAGTATTTAATTGGGGTATCCAAGTATGGCTCTGTAATTAATTGTAGTAGTGGATTTGAAGGGAGCAAGTCATACAAAAAAATCCTGAAAGATTCTGGTACGATCCAGTACCAACGAAAAGGAGATAGTGTAATGGCTGATAGAGGATTCAATGTTCGGGTAGAACTAGCTGAGATTGGTGTCAACCTCATCAAACCATCAAACTTTAAAAAGTCACAACAATTTCTCAAACCTAGTGAAGAATTTTTTTCTAGAGATACTGCCAGTGCTAGAATTTTTGTTGAGCATGCCATTAAATCCATCAAGGAGTGGCGCATTTTGAGAAATATTATACCTATGTCTATGCACGACATATTGCCAGACATGGTATTTATTGCTGCCTATCTCACTAACTTGAACAAACCCTACATCAAATTAGGATCAGGAACAGCAAAATAATGGTACCTGTTGAAATGATGTGATGTGATCAGCAGCAGTGAGATGCCTAGGGTAGATTTATTAAAATAGTACTTTACCTGAAACTTGAAACGTTCATTTATTTGCTCTGAAGATATATTAACATTAAAACAACTTAATTCGGATGAAAATGTTAGTAAGAAGATTTCTAAAATACATGCACCATGCATTTGCAGCTGACAAACAAGCATTATGGCATTCCAAGTTAGGAAATGAAAATACTCACCTGTTGCAGTTGTCAATCAGAAATACCCAAGAGCTATGGAATTGAAATAAGTTTGCCTTTGGGAGCCCCATGACAGGAAACACACAGCAGTCACATCCGAGAGATCTGAGAGCAAAGAAGGAGAAGCACAATACTTGTTCTTTCACCTCACCAAAGAAAATGACAAGAGTGTGACCCAAGATCAAGAACAAGTAAAAGAAGTTCAGAAGACTCAGAATCCACATGAATTGATGTTTGTTGGCAGAAGTAAGCCATTAAGGGCAAATAGATGACATAGCAACCATTGATTACTTTTACAAAACACCTTCCACAACCATGTTTTTTAAACCCAGATGCAGGGTGGTCCTACTAACTAGGGAGTGTTTGATATGAGGTATCAAGTAATAAATGGAAGTGTGTACTTATTAAGAACAGTTCATACCAATGAAAAGGAATAGTAGCAAATATATGTTGTCCCTGCACCCGTTAATAAAATAATTTTTTTATCAATCACTATTCTGAGAAAACTATTCATAACAACCTTCCCAATGAGTTAGATATAAATTTTGATTTGGGTGTTCAGATCAAATGTACCAAATACCATCAAGTACCCACAATTACTTTTAAGAGAATACATACTTTCCTTAGCATCTTACCTTCGTAACCATTTAACTGTACATGTGACCATATGTGCAGCAAGGTTGCACTGATGTGACTGCACATTTCTTTTTCAATTATCCAGCTAATGCTAATCCAGCTTCATGGGGTGCTACTGTATCTCTGCTAAACCTGCAATTAATAAAGACATGTACAATAACGAATTATACTGTGGATTATTTTTGGATGTGTGAAAAAAAATATTACCTCTGTGGCTTGGGTCTCAGTGGTTCTGACTGTAATTTTTGCTGTAACATTGAAGGTACCACTGTGTCTGTTCCCCTGCTTGACAACAACATTTTGAACTGAAGGAGTCAGTGGGAAAACATTCAATGCTGCACTGCTATGTGTATGCTGAATCTGCAGTTCAGAAAAACGCATTACAATAAAACATGAGAATGTGAAAATGTTATCAGAGGACAGATGACTTAAAACTCATACCTCTTTATTACATTTCTCATAAATGATTAAGTAGTTATTGCCATCAACAATAAGAGGAAGACATGGTACGTGCTCAGTCTGTTAAAAAAAAAGTGTTGTCACCACATTGTCATCGTCCAAAAGATAGAATAAGTTCATTACCTCTTTATTGTCATCTAGTACAGCTAAAGAACCAGTTGCACACTTTGCATAAGTATAGTACTGACCACTGGTTCTTGTTTTTCCTATGTGGACCACTACAGATCTGAATGAATACTGAGTTTCTTTTATGTTTACAAAAAGATTTATGGGAACTTGTTTGACTATTTTTAAATTTGCTTTAGAATCAAACCTAGGTTACGAAAAAATCATAATAATATGACTAAATATTTGTTTTTATAGAAGAGATAGTGTAAATCACTAACCTCTTTAATACAATCGCCAAAACATTAGGAGGGCGGTAGATTTGGAGTGATTTGGTATTGTTATCACAATTTTGGCATTTGTCACGTTTGTATTCAATAATCTCAGAATTGAAATTTGATTTCAGGGCTGTGTCTACATCAGTGACCTTATCACTTGTGATTGACAAAGTCAAACAGTGGAACGGTTCAAATTTAAAAGATGATGTCTTACACTGTGAGCAAGTGCCTGATATACAGAGTAAGAAGTGCAAAGTAATATGGAGAAGAAATATTGAGAAAGGAACACAAATTTAAAGAAAAAAATGACTCACAAGTACTGATATAGCATCCCTGGAACATGTAACCCATGGGGGATTTTCTGTCTTCCTCAGGAGAACGCCTCAATCCTGTTTCAGCAAAATATTCCACCAACAGCTGCTCTACAAGGTTCAGGAAAAAATCCTCCTGCTTCTTCACTGTCAGTTCCATGTCTTTCAACATAACTGTAACAATAATAAGCGTAAATTAAGAAATGTGTGAACAGGAGCCCAATATAAGTATTTCGCAAACCATTACCTCTGAGAAT